CTTTCCCTTGTTGATCTTAACTCCCTGCCCCCTAAGCTTCCTGTCTCCTTCTGCACCTTGGTCTCATCACTTTGATCCGATATGATGATGATGACGATGTTGTTGTTATAAGCCCTGGTGGTGTAGTGGTTACATGTTCACCCGTGGTCCGCATGGTCGGCAGTTCAAAACCAGCAGCTCCATGGGTAAAAGTCTGGGCTTTCTGTGCTTGTGAACGGGTACAGTCTCAGCCACCCACAGGGGGTGGCTCTGCGTCAGCACTGATGCCACGGCGGCGGATTTTAGAGCCGTTGCTATGACGTGCCCTCCAGTCGGTTCTGACATATAACGGCCCGACGTACGACAGAACAAGCACCACCCAGCCCTGTGCCGTCTGCACAGTCGTCAGGCTTGAGTTCGTGTGGCAGCCACTGGGGAGTCTTCCTCTCTACTGTACCAAGCACGGCGTCCTTCCCCAGGGACTGGCAGTGTCTCCGGCAACACGTCCAAAGTCCACGAGCCACAGTCTCGCCATCCTCACTTCTAAGGAGCACTCTGGCCATACTTCTTCCGAGAGAGATCTGTTTGTCTTTCCACTCCACCATCAGGAATAGTCCTCACCAGCACCCTGAGTCTACGGCGTCCCTTTCCCCTCGCTCGACTTTCACTCTCTGATTGGCGTTCACTCACACACGGGAGGAGAAAATACGACGGCGCGAAGGGCCAGGCGCGCAGTAGTGCTCCACGTGGCCCGTGTGCTCTTTAACAAAACGCTCTTGGTCGGCAGATTTGCCCAATAGGACGCGTCATTTGATTTCTTGGCCGCTGCCTCCGTGGGCGTTGATGGTGGATCCGGGAACGTGAACTCTTTGACAGTTTCCATCTTTTCTCCCATTGTCATGATGGTGTCTGCTGCTACAGTTGGTCCCTTAGAGGAAGCCGTTCCGTGAGCACAGTGCTCAGCCAGGGCTTCTTTTCTTTCTTTTTAAAAGAAATCATTTTATTAGGGGCTCATACAACTCTTATCACAATCCATACATCCATCCATTGTGTAAAGCACATTTGTACATTCATTGCCCTCGGTCCCCGTTCCCCCCTCCCTCATGAACCCTTGATAATTTATAAATTATTATTTTGTCATATCTTGCCCTGTCCGACGTCTCCCTTCTGTTGTCCCACTTTTCTGTTGTCCATCCCCCAGGGAGGAGGTCACATATAGTTCCTTATAATAGGTTCCCACTTTCCAACCCACTCTCCCTCTACCCTCCCAGTATCGCCACTCACACCACTGGTCCTGAAGGGATCATCCGCCCTGGATTCCCTGTATTTCCAGTTCCTGTCTGTACCAGTGTACATGCTCTGGTCCAGTCAGACTTGCAAGGTAGACTTTGGATCAAGATAGTGGGGGCGGGGAGGAAGCATTTAGGAACTAGAGGAAAGTTGTATTTTTCATCGTTGCTACATCACACCATGACTGGCTCATCTCCTCCCTGAGATCCCTCTGCAAGGGGATCTCCAGTGGCCTACTAATGGGCTTTGAGTCTCCACTCCGCACTCCCCCCATCATTCACTATGGTAAGATTTTTGTTCTGTTGATGCCTTATACCTGATCCCTTCGACACCTCGTGGTTGCATAGGCTGGTGTGCTTCTTCCATGTGGGCTTTGTTGCTTCTGAGCTTGATGGCCGCTTGATTATCTTTAAGCCTTTAAGACCCCAGACGCTATACTTATTGATAGCCGGGCACCATCAGCTTTCTTCGCCACATTTGCTTAGGGGGTTCTTTTCTTAAAGCAGTTTCATTGACATGTGAGCCACGGACCAAACCGTTATTCAATGGTTTGGAGATGTCTTTTTAAAAGTTGTACCATTATGACCCCAATCAATTGTAGAACGTTTTCCTCACTTTGTTCTCATCATTAGTAGCCCCCCTTGCCCCCCAACCTCCCCTGCCGCACCCTATGAAACTGTTACTCCAGTTACTATCCCCATAGATTGTTGTAGCCACTGGGTCTGTCCACCTCATCAAGGGCCTTCCTTTCATTCACTGCCCCTCTGCTTTATCAAGCGTGATGTCCTTCTCCAGGGACTGGTCTTTCCCGAGAAGATGTCCAGTGCATGTGAGATGAAGTCTCCCTGTCCTTGGCTCTAAAGAACACTTTGGTTGTACGTCTTCCAAGAAACATTTGCTTTGTTCTTTTGGCAACCCATGGTACTCTCATTATTCTTGGCCAGAAGCACAATCCAAACACATCAATTTTGCTTCTGTCTTCCTTATTCAATAGCTAACTTTCACACGCATATGAGGCCACGGAAAATATCATGGCCTTCTGTAAAGCAGGTGCTCAGGATTAAAGCTCTAATACAATTCTCTCCTCTCCTCTTTGATTTTTAATTTACGATCCTTGGATTGCACAGGCTGGCATGAGGATTTAGCTGACTTCTCCTTTAGATGCCTCCTTCTTTTAAGAGAAGCTTTTTCAGAATCCAGATGATCTTTCTGAGAGCCGGACACCATCTGATTTCTTCAACACGCTTTGCTGTAGCACCCATATCTTCAGTGATCTCTTCGTGAGGGTAAGTGTTGAGCAGGGAAGGGAGGCTTCTTTACTAAGATAAGCTGTGCTTTTGTTGAAAGAAGTCTTCAGGGGATAGTCAGTTTTAGGTTTAAAGATGATGTCAAGGCAATCGTTTCAGGGGTTCCCCTAACTGTCATGATTCCAGAAAGCATGAATTCCCATGATGTAAAAATGATGTGAAGGGGACCATATCTGACCTCTTCTGACTTCCTACGAGGCAGAAGTCAGGCATGCCTCCACCCTACATCTTTCTTATCCTATGCTGACCATTTCTCCCATGGTACTCTGTTTCTCCATTGGGCTCAACAATTCATTGCAATGGCCACGCGAGACACACAGCCAACACCCACTGTCATGGGGGTTGATTGTGGGAGTTAACAGGTTACCACAAGCCAGGATCAGTAAACAGCAAGGACACAGCCAGTCACTGGTCCGCAGCGACAGCCTTCTCAGCCAGCAGCCGCGTCACCCTCTCGGCCACATGGTCCGCTTGCCTCTGGTCTGCAGGAGCCAGGAAGCCCGCTTGCTGCTTTGCCTCACAGCCTTGGCGCCGCTTTTCTGCTGTCTGTCTCCTGGTCTCCTCGCTGCGGCCTCTGGTGCCTCTGGTCTCAGCCTCCACCACTCAGACAGAGATTATGAGCATGTCGCCCTGTTGGCCCTTCTGCACCTTGCCCTGGGATTTCTGTGTTTCCGAGGTGGTTTTTATGCACAAAGGAATGGTTTTGACGGAGCTGTGGTTTTTGTTTCCCCCAAGGAAACAAAGTGGGGGGGGGGGACTTATTTCACACCCTCTACTAAGGTGTAGACTGGATCCTGTCCATTCGCATAGCAGAGAACTCCCTCCGAAATGAGTTTACAGCCGCAGGCACAGAGGCCAGAATGACAATACATCCCAGAAAGGGTTATGGCTAGAAGGGCTCTCTTGACTGACTGCATGTCACAGGAGAATTTAAAAATTGATTCCTTATCTGTATCCCCCCTCCCCACCAAGCCCCACCTTTGCTCAGGACTCTTCTACAGAATCTCTGATCAGAAGGTTCAGGCGTGGTGGTAGGGCACCATCTAGCTCTCCTGGTCTCATGGCGGAAGAGGCGGTTGTCCACCGGGGCAGTTAGCCACACGTTCCATGTCCTCCCCGTTTTCCCACTCTTCTGTCATGAGACCAGTTCGCCTTGACTTTTGGAAAAATCATTTGAGCGATCCTTCCCCCACCCACCTCCTGCGGACTTACTTTTCCCCTGGTTTTCTGCCCTGGAAGGTTTGTTACATTTCCAGAGTAAGCTGTAAGCAATTTGGTTTGATACTTCCGGGAACTAGGGCTAGGGCGGTGGCCTGGGCCTCAGCGGGCCCTGTGGTCACTATGTTCCTTATGGATATTGGCTGAGGGACTGCGGGGACGAGACGGGTTGTAGCCTCCTGTGCAAATGAAGCCAGGGCTGGTCAGTTTGTGGCTCTGGTGGGAGGGCGGCCAGGCCTTGAAATTGTGGAGGAGTGGTCAGATTTCAGACAGGAAGTGGAACAGAAGCAGAGAGGCAGAAAGGGAAAGAGGTGGGGTGGAGAGACTTCCTGAATCAGCTGTGACGCAGACGACAGGCTGTAGATTCAGGAACGCGACCCGCCTGGAAGGGGCCAGGGGGCAGTCACAGAGCAGCCTGGCCTTGGGCAGCAAGTGCCTTCCATTTGCTGCTGGACGTCTGGCTTGGTGGGGTCCGTCCGGGCTGCGAGAGGCCCAGTGGTCAGGGAAGGTTGGGAGATCAGTCCCAGAGCAGGAGCAGGTGAGAGAATGCTAAGGCCACCACCGGCAGCATCCAGACATTGGGGCTGAGGCGCCTGCAGGTGAGGGCAGAGGCCCACAGTGCACCAGGAAGCCAAGACTGGGGTTGGAGGGAGGGAATGGGGGAGCGAGGAGAGAGCTTAGCAAGGAGTGGAGGGGGGCGCTTTGGATTAGGTCTTTGGGGGTGGGGTGGTCAGACATGGGAAGGTGTGTAGGAGCAGACCAGGGAAGGAATAAGGGGGAAGGGTCTCGTGCAAAGGCCCTGGGGCGAGACTGGGTTAGCAGAATATGCAGGAGGGGAAGGCAGGGATTTAGGTTTTAAGGATTCTACTCATGAGGGTGAGAAAATGTGGGTGTGATCTGAACCAGTGCAGGGCCCGTGAGGAATCTCAATTGGGGGATGACCCTGGGTCACAGGGAGGCTCTTGGTGGGCATCCCACCCACGCTGGGGCCTGGCTGAGCCCAGGAGCCAGGAACCACCCTGAGCCTGTGAAGAATTCTCCCCCAGCCCCTCCCAGCTGCCCAGGGCCCCAGGCCCACCCCACCCAGATGATGTCACAGAGTCTAGAAGCCCCTAGAACCCAGAAGGCCCCTGGCTTCTGAGTCACCAGCCAGCCAGGCGGCTGAGGCCAGCTGCTCCTGAGACGGGCCTTCTAAGACACGATGCACGCTGGGCCGCAGGGAGCCGAGTCAGCGTAGGGCCCCCGCCCCATCACTCCTGGGCTCCCCTGCCTCTGAGCACCCACCTAGCTCTTAGCCATTCCGGGGGCAGCCACGGGCTCCTGGGGGCCCTGGAGATGCCCGAGGGCCTCTCGTCTACCGTCCCCAGCGGGACCTAGCTCGACTCAGCCACAGCTGCAGCGGGGGTGGCCATGGTGGGGCAGTGGCCGTCCCTGGCCCTGGCCCTGGCGGTCACCAAGATCTCGCTGATCCTGCTGGTGCTGCCGGCGCCCTCGTGGGCCGTGGTGCGGGCCATTCTAGATGAAAATGCCAGCACAGTGGATTTCGCGGACTTGCCCGCCCTCTTCGGGGTCCCGCTGGCGCCCGAGGGTCTCCGGGGTTACCTGATGGAGGCCAAGCCGCCCAACGCGTGCCAGCCCATCGAGGGCCCGCGACCCAGCAACAGCTCGCTGGGGGCCATCGTCCTGATCCGCCGTTACGACTGCACGTTCGACCTGAAGGTGCTCCACGCCCAGCGCGCCGGCTTCGAGGCCGCCATCGTGCACAACGTGCGCTCGGACGACCTGGTGCACATGGCGCACGTCTACGAGGACCTGCGGAGCCAGATCGCGATCCCGTCCGTGTTCGTGGGCGAGGCCGCCTCCCAGGACCTGCGGGTCATCGTGCGCTGCGACAAGTCGGTCCACGTGCTCCTGCTGCCCGACGCCCCACCGTGCACCGACCTGGACTGCCACCCGGTGCTGGCCACCTCGTGGGCGCTGGGCCGCGCGCTGGTGCTGCTGACCTCCACCGCGCTGGTGCTGCGCCGCGTGTGGCACTGGCTGTGCTCCTGGTGGGGGCGCGGCCCCCGGGTCAAGGAGCCCGCCCCGGCCCGACAGAAGGCCCAGGTGCAAATCTTCACGAGGAGCCACGACCTGTGTGCCATCTGCCTGGACGAGTACGAAGAGGGCGACCCCCTCAAGATCCTGCCCTGCTCCCACGCCTACCACTGCAAGTGCATCGACCCGTGGCTGGCGCACGCCGCGCGCCGCACCTGCCCCGTGTGCAAGCAGTCGGTGGCGGGCTCCGAGGACAGCTCCAACTCGAACGCCGAGAGCGGCGGCGACGACGATGACCCCTCCCTGCCCGGCCACCAGCCGCCCCTCTGGGCGGTGCAGGCGCGGCTGCGCGCCCGCAGGCTCGAGCTGTTGACCCGCAGAGGCGTCCGCCGCCACTGCAGCGCCGTATCCGTGAGGGGGGCCTGGGAAAGGGCCCCGACACCCCACTGAGGGTCCCCCGCCCCTCCTCTGGGTGGCTGCGCCCACCTGGCACATGTCCAGTCTGGAGGGAATAAAGTCATTTGGAAAGCGGGTTCTGACCCCCGTGCTGTCTGCCTGCAGGGCTTCTAGAGCCGGTTGGAGGGTGCACTCAGCAAGAAGCTAGGGGCATGAGTGGGGTTGAGGGTGAGGGACCTGTGGTTGTAGAAAGACCAGGCTGTCTGCTCCTGCAAAGAGTTACAGCCCCACAACCCCCCTGGGGGGCAATTTTACTCTGTCCTGGAGGTCACTGTGTGCTGTCAGGAGGTTTGGGTTTGGGGTGGGTGGTCGTTGTCAGGGTTCTGGTTATGCAGAGAGCTTACAGCTCAACTTGCTACCGCATGGGTGGCACATTTGCTTATGCACCCATTTGTCTTCAGCGATCGTATCAGGGAGGAGAGCACACAATGATATGATTTTTTGTTCTTTGATGTTTGGTTGCGATCGTATCAGGGAGGAGAGCACACAATGATATGATTTTTTGTTCTTTGATGTTTGATAACTGATCCTTTCGGCACCTCGTGATCACACAGGCTGGTGTGCTTCTGCCATGTGGGCTTTGTTGCTTCCGAGCTAGATGGCCGCTTGTTTACCTTCAAGCCTTTAAGATCCCAGACGCTATATCTTTTGATAGCTGGGCACCATCAGCTTTCTTCACCATATTTGC